GATCCACCTGTCTCTGCCTCCTGAGTGCTGGGATTAGAGGTGTGTACCACCACCACCAAGTGAAATTTTTCATTAAAAAGAGAAAGCATGATAAACTTAGGATTTTGAATGAAACATGGGCAAAATCCATTCTTTTTATTATGTATGTACTATTGCATGTGAGCATGCATGTATGATGGGGGATGTGTGTGGAGGTCAGAGGGCTTTGGAGTACCTTCTCTGTTTCCACTGTGAGTTCTCAGGGATCAAGTTGTCTGCTTACTCTTCAAGTGTTTTACCCAAAGCACAGTCTCAAAGTCCTATTGTTGATTATCTTCTGCACGTAATTTTTTTCCACTTTAGTGCCATGCTGTCCAGCTGGTCTGACAGTGGCTCAGGTCACCCAGTCTATAATCAATGTGAGCTGGACTATTGGGACAGTGGCTCAAACCTATGTGACAGTGCTAGAGTCACACATCGGACTGTCTAAGTGCCACACCCATCAAAACCACTGCCTTCTGGGATGCATTGCATGTGGCATCAACTACACGGTGGCACTAAAAGCCATTAGCCCCACTGGACTGACTGCAGACTGTGCCTACCAAAGCTATTCCTCCAGTAAGTGAATTCTGAACTCTAGTTCCTGAGTATTGATGTCTCAAATACTATTCTATTGCTGTGAGGAGAATATATGAACAAGTTAATGGGTTTTTTTTTGTTTGTTTGTTTATGTTTTAGTTTTTGTTTTCAAACAGAAACTGTGTAGCCGCAATGGGGTTTTTTTTTTGTTTGTTTATGTTTTAGTTTTTGTTTTCAAACAGAAACTGTGTAGCCCTGGCTGACCTGGAACTTGCACTGTAGACCATACTGGTCTTGAACTCAGAGATCCGCCTGCCTCTGTCTCCCTTGTGTTGGTATTTTAGTTGTGTGCCACCACTGCCCAGCCCAAGACAACACAAAAGAAAGCATTGAATTGGGGGCGTGCTTACAGTTTTAGAGAGTTAGTTGATAGTCCATGATCATAGTGGTGAGAAGAGACAGCCATGGCGCTGGAGCAGCAGCTGAGAGCTTTACATTCTGATCCAAAGGAAAGCCCACCCACCCCACCCTCCCTCGTGACACACCTCCTCCAAAAAGGTCATACCTCCTAATCCTTCCCAAATAGTTCCATCAACTGGGGACCAAGCATTCAAATATATGAGGCTATGGGGGCCATTCTCACTGAAACTATCACAACTGCTAAGGATGCCGTGATCCCTGGTCTAGGCCCAGTCCATCCTTCCCATTTAAGAAGATGGTGTGAGGCTGAAGAGATGGTTCAGTAGTTAAGAGCAGTGGCTGCTCTTCCAGAGAACCTGGGTTCAATTCCCAGCAACCACCTGGCAGCTCACAACTGTCTGTAATCCATCTGAAAGTGATGTGACATCCTTTTACTGACATAAATGCAAGCAAAACACCAGAGCACACAAAATAAAAATAAATACATTTGGATTACTTTCTTAGTGTATGTGCGGTGGGGAATCAGTTGATGTTGTCAGTCACCCTCAATCACTCATCACCTTATTTTTTGAGGTAATTTCCCTCACCAAGTCTGAAACTCACTGATTTGGCTAGATTGGCTGGACACCAAACACCAGGGATGACCCTGCCTCTGCCTCCCCAGTGCTGGGATTATAGGCACATGCCATCTGGGGCTGTTACGCTCAGTTTTTACATGAGTGCTGGAGATCAAACTCATGCATGTGTGGCAGACACAGGCTTCTCCTCAGTCCTATTCATGCAGAGTATTTCCTATTGTGTTTATAGTTCCTTTGATTGGAACTTCAATGCTTAGAGCTTTCTGTCAGTGGTTGGTGCATTGCTTCCCCTGGTAAAAAGTCTGGGCTAAAGGGATGATGGTTTTTTTGTTTTGTTTTGTTTTGTTTTGTTTTGTTTTGTTTGTTTGTTTAATACGGCAGATCTATGGTAAAGAGTAACTCAGCCTGGCAGTTCTGGAAAGTGGGAGAGTACACATTCTACCTGGTTTGCATTGTTGTTGTTGTCACACTGTGTCCTCTCTCTCTCTTCTGAATCATTGCAGCCTTCTGTAGTTTATCACTGTAACAGGCCAGACAGGAGCAAAAGCTTCTTTCCACAAATGCCAAGCCATCAGGGAATGACAGGAAGAAACAGCAAACAGAGCAGGGCTAGCAAAGACTCCCCCTTACATAATTCTCACCTGCTGAGGCGACTGCTTGGAGAGCAGTTTTGAAAAAAAAAAAAAAAAAAAAAAAAAAAAACCCAAAGCCTCTTTCCGCCTGGGGGGGAAATTGTTTGGGAGGTTTTTGTTTTTATCTCTTCCTGGGCTTGGGGCAGTGGGGTTGACATATGATTTTGGCTTCTTAGACACAGTAGCGAATGTCTTAACTGGGAGCTTAAATTAGAGATGGCTTCTTGCAACCTGGGTTGCCTTTATTTTCCATGATTCTAGTTCCTTTTAGGTAAGAAAAAAATTAGGGTAACCGAGTCTCCCTAGCGAGCATCTACGATGTTCTGTTCAAGAGTGAGCTGGTTTATGCCTTCTTTTGGCTGTCACTTTCTGTTGTATTTGTTGCTTCATTCTCATCTTCATTTCTGGTTCTGAGAAGATGGTTTCTTCCTTATTTTTCCACCTAACATTTTAGATTTTAATTAATTAGTTAAGTGTTTGTTCCCAAGAGCATGTCAGGGTTTGCCTGTGGAAGTCACAGGACACATATAGGAGCTGGTTCTCTCCTTCCACCATGGGGGGCCCAGAGATTGAATTCAGTTGGTCAGGCTTGGTGGCAAGTACCTTTACCAGATGAACCACTTTGTCAGCCCTACAACATTTTTTTTTTTAAATAATAAATTAAATCAGCCCAGTCCAGGCAAGGTGGCTCATGGCTATAATCTTTGTACTTGGGAAGCACAGGCAGTAGGGTCAGGAAATTAAAGTCATCTGTGCTACAGGGCAGCCTGTGCTAAATGAGACCCTATGTCAAACAAAACAGAATAAGTCAATGTTTCAAAAGTAAGAAAAATAAATTAAGCTAGGTATATTAGTTTTCCTGTTGCTTTGACAAAATATCTGACAAAAAGCCAGGAGCTGCTGGTGGTGCACACCTTTAATCCTAGCTCTCAGGAGGCAGAGGCAGGCAGATTTCTGAGTTTGAGGCCAGCCTGGTCTGCAAAGTGAGTTCCAGAACAGCTAGGGCTATACAGATAAACACTGTTTAGAAAAACAAAAACAAACAACAACAAAAAGTCTGACAAAAAATCCAAACAACTTAAGGGGCTGGAGTGATGGCCCAAAAGTTAAGACCATCCACTGCTCTACCAGAGAACTCCAGGTCAGTTCCCAGCACCCATGTTGAGCATAACTCCAGTTCGCCCTCTTCATGCCTCTGTTAGGCATTGCAGTCACATGTACATACCCCCATACTCAGAATTAAAAAGAAATGAATAAACAATGAAATCACTTTTAAAAATATGGCAGGAAGGGTTGCTCTCAGTTTACAGTTCATGGTGAGAAATTCATGGCAGCAGGAAGGAGCTGGTTGCATTGTCTGAAGGCAGGAATGGGACGGGTGACACCAGGCTCCCATCTGATGGAATGGTATAGCCCCCATTAGGTGGGTCTTCCCACCTTCCCACCTCATACAACATAATCTAGACAATCCCTTACAGACATTTCTAGAAGATAACCATCTAGACAATCCCTCACAGGCTGCCTAAAGCTAACTTCATCTAGATAATCCCTCACTGACATGCCTGTAGGCTTGTCTCCTGGGTGATTCTAGAGCCTGTCAAGTTGACAGTGTGAACTGTCACATCAGGCTCCTGCCTGGCATCCCTGCACTCAGGAGGTGAGACAAAGAGGTTCGCCAGACAGCCATGATTTCAGGGCCAGCCTAGGCTACATATCGAAGGAGACCCTGTCTCAAACTGCCTCCCAAATAATCAGCCAGTCAAACCATCAATCATGCTGGGCAGAGTGGCACACACCAAGAATCTCAGCACTTGAAAGACTGAGGATGGAAGATAAATTTAGGGGCTATCCTGGGCTACATATCAATACCCAGTCTCAAGTGAATAAACACACACACACACACACACACACACACACACACACACACACACACATTCTTAGAGGTACACACATACTATACACAGAGAGGAGAATGAAAGAGCATGCACATCAAATCAAATGAGCCTAATTCTCCTTTACAATTTCAAAAACTTACTCAATATGATCTTTATTTTAGTTAGCATTCTACCATCTGGTGCACTGATTGATAACTAACATGTGGCCCACTCAAAATATTTGGGAAACAGGACCACAAGAGTACCTAATGTGCTAGCACAGATGAAGTGCGGACCAGCCAACTTGCTCCCTATTTGGTCACAGAGGTGGCTGTTTCCAAGGTGAGCTCCTGCTTACAGCTGCTAGGTGAACACAATGATGTATTCAAGTTTCATCCCTCTAAAGTCAAATGAAACCGGGGCATCGTGCTGTATCTCGTCAGGGTTGTGTGCATTTGACTCATCTCTTGCATCTCAAGCAATGCAGCATCTCGCTGCCAACTGTACACCTTGGATTCACCAGTGTTCTGTTTTAAAACCCCTCCCCCTCCCCACCCATACATGGACTTCTGATCCTGTGGCTCGGCATGGGAAAAACACACTCGGCCCTTCAAACCTTGCTGTGTTCTAACCAGAGATTAATCCTTCTATGCAGAGGGCTCTACCTGTGCTTTTCCCCTCTGTTGTAATTATAAACAAGGCCGTGCTCATGTGATGATGAAATAAATAATTCCCGACTTGTTTTTATCCTGTAGGTGCCTGCTGCCCACTGGGGGTCAAATTATATAGGCTGGGCCCTAATGGCATCCGGATCCACTGGCAAGCCTCCAGGGGCTCTGCCAATTATAGCACTGACCTCTATGGCTCCAAAGGCATCTTCACATGTGTCCCAAGGGCTGGCCTAAGTTTCTGTGACGTCACCGACATCCCCTGTGGGGACGTATACACTGTGATGGTCTCACCAGTTGCAGAAACAGGATTAAAGCTAACATTCTGTCCAAAAAAGATATATTCAGGTAAATCAAGTTCCGACCCTTACTTTAAAACTGACCTTTGAGCTCAATGCAGCTCAGTGGTGCTGTACTTGGCATAGCAAGGACAAGGCCCCAGCACCCAAAAGAACAACACAAAGGGAAGGTTAAAACTAACCCTTGGGCTGGTAAGACAGCTCAGGGGGTGCTCTGGTTTTCTTTCTGTTACTGTGATAAACACCATGATCAAAAGCAACTGGCTTGCTCTCAGGTTCAGGTTCAGCTACCTTTCTCCAACAGCCGGGGTCCACCTGCCTAGGAATTGTACTGCCCACAGTGGACTGGACCCACCTACATCAATAATCAAAAAAAAAAAAAAAAAAAAAAAAAGGCAATTACCCACAGCCATGTCCACAGGCCCATCTGATGGAGAAAATTCCCCAACAGAGGCTGCTGCTTCCCAGGTGAATTAAACTATGTCACATTGACAATAAAAACTAACCCGTATAGGGGTAAAAGTGCTTTCGAGGCAAGCCTGATGACCTGGGTTCAATCCCTGGAGCCCACATTCTGTGTATTAGTCAGGGTTTCTATTGTTGTGATATAATACAATGACCAAATCAACCTGTGGAGGAAATGGGTTTATTTGCTTGCATTTCTTTCTCAGAGGGAAGTTAGCACAGGAGCTGAAGCAGAGCAGGAACCTAGAGGCAGCTGCTGATGCAGAGACCATAGAGGAGCACTGCTTACTAGCTTGTTCTCCCATGGCTTGCTCAGCCAGCTTTCTTACAGAACCCAGCTGAAGGCTGGTACCACTCACAGTGACCCAGACCCTCCCACACCAGTCACTAAACAAGAAAATGCCCTACAGGCTTGCTTGCCTACAGCCCATACTGATGGAGGCATTTTTCAACTGAGCACCCCCTCCTCAGATGACTCTAGCTTGTGTCAAGTTGACATAAAACTAGCCAGTACATGGTAGAGGGAGAGAACCGACTCCTGCAAGTCGTCCTGGTACCTCTACATAAAATGGTTTGGTGTACACTCGTGTACTCACACTCTCACATACACAAAATAAGCAAACCTGAAAAATATTAAAACTAACTTTCAACTCAGACCTGTGAATTAAGATGCAGGGCAATCCCACATAATTGCTAAGTGTGGATTGTCTGTAAGCTGCAGGAATCCCAACTTCTTTGGAATTGTGTTTTGTTATTTAATGTGTACCTGTGCGCCTCTCCCTGCCCTTTGCTTCCCCTTCAGATAAAACGAGCAAATACTATTTTCCTAGTAAAGTGAATTAAAGTGATTGAAGGTTTGGGGACAGATTTTTAAACATAGTCTGTCGACCTTATTTGATACCTTGTCATGTTAAACCTTAAAAGATTTGAACTTTGCTGGACAATGATGACACACACCTTATATCCCAGCACTTGAGAGCCAGAGGCAGGCAGCTCTCTCTGAGTCTAGCCTGGTCTACAGAGTGAGCTGCAGGACAGCCAGGGCTCTGTTACACAGAGAAACCCTGCCTCAAAAACCCAACCAAAAAAAAAAAGCAGTTTTGAACTTTTATTTGCACAGCTTGAGAATGAGGACAAAGGAAAAGTTTGAGGATCAAAGTAAAGGGCTGAATGAATTAGGGCTGGAAATATGAGTGGGTAGACAGACTGATCACACACCAGGGCTGTCAGCCAGGCCGTCTCACCAGAGCTGGCAGGAGACATTAGCAATTCTTTGTTCTGTGTTCCGGCACCTTCTGCTATCTTGCCCAGGGCACAGTCATGTATTTTTCATGTACTTCTAAGGGAGAGAGAAGAGAAAAACAATAATGAGGCCCTAGAATTTTGCAGGTGAACACAAGAAAGAGAAAAGATGACTCATGAACCTTTACTGATAAGCAGTTCTTCATTTTCTAATTAAATGTAGGTGACAAGAAGTTCAAGATGGCTCTTGGTGACAGAGTATGGCCAGCTCTTCCTTTTAGGATAAAGCTCGAGGGGGGACCTTGGGTGGGGGACCATGGCAGGCGAGGGTGACCAATGTGGGGGACATACATGCCAGGCAGACTGAGCTTAAGTGAGAAGTTTTATTGGGGGGGGGCAGGCGTTGGTGGCGCCTGCCTTTAATCCCAGCACTCGGAAGGCAGAGGCAGGTGGATCTCTGTGAGTTTGAGGCCAGCCTGGTCTACAAGAGCTGTTCCCAGAACAGCGACAAAAAAAAAACAGAAAACCCCTGTCTCGAAAAAAAAAGAGGGGGGAGGAAAGAGAAAAGAGGTAAGGGACAGACAGAAATGAGAGAGAGGACAGAAGAGGGAGACAGGAAAAGTCCAGTCTGCCCCAGGAGAACAGCGGGAAGAGAGAGCTGGAAGACTGCTGGAAAAGTGCAGAGAGGAGAACAGAGAGAGAAGATCAGGAAAGAGAGCGTAAGTGGGTGGGAACTGTCTTTTAAAGGCGTCCTTTGCACCTGCGTGCAGACTTTGCAGCCATGGAACCCTGGGCTGACCACAGTACTGCTTGAGTGCATTCTGCCAGGTGACAGGGGCAGGTCAGCATAATGCCTGAGTCCTTACACTTTCTAAAGGGGTTTTCCTGCTATCTTTAGATGTCATGCTCTGATTTTCTTAAAATAAATTTTAACTTTATTTTGTGCATTGGCGTGGAGGTATCAGATCCCCTGGAATTGGAGCTACAAACAGCTGTGAGCTGCCATGTGGGTGCTGGGAATTGAACTCAGAACCTCTAACAGAGCAGCCAGTGCTCTTAACCGATGAGCCGTCTCTCCAGCTCCCATGCTCTGATTTTTATTTTTTTTAATCTTGCCCCCCCCCAAAAAAAATTCTGACCCATAGCACAACCTTATGAGAAGAGAGTGTATTCTTGGGCTACAGATGAGCTCTTTGGAAGACAAGCTCACCACTCAATAACAACGTCATGTTAGCTGGATATTTCACAACTTAACAAATGTCCTCACATTTATATCTGATTGAAGTAGATTCAGCAGACCTTACTGTCTCTTATTTATAAATAAGGAAACCGAGACTCAACGGCTCCCAAGTCTGTATCTCCAACAATTCTCCCGAGAGTCACTGAATTGTATGGCTCAATTATGTGTAGACACCGAATGGTAATCGGAGGATTCTTCCTAAAAGCACACGTGGAGGACATAGTTTGCCTCACTGCTCATGTGCCCCAAACCAGTTCAGTCCAGGTCATACTTTGCATTCTTCCCACCTTGATACATTTGGAATATTTTTTAAATGGAAATTGTCCAGGTTTGGTTGTTCTTAGGAGAGGAAAAAAACCATTCCATCGTCAGAAAGGGGTGTACGTGAGCTTGGTGCAAATGTGGGCCTGAGGTTGCTAGGTGCGATGTTTGAAGAGGAGTGTGGGTGCCCAACCTGTGCAGTCAGAGGAGCTAGGCTGCCAAGCGCATCACCACAAGAGGGGACTGTGTACAGCCTGAACCTATAGAGTCCCAAGCTGCCAAACCATTCACTATGCTTGCCTACCTCAACATTGCCTTCCCTTATTTGAGTTTTTTCTTCCTTATCTTTGGCCTACTTTCCATTTATTGTTTTTTTTTTCAGTAGTTCTGGAGATTAGACTCAGGGCATTGTGCATGCTAGGCAAGCCCCATACTGCTGAGCTAGCACACACACACACACACACACACACACACACACACACACACAGGTCCCAGGCCTTCTCCTAAAACTCTTGCCATGTTGCCCATACTGGTCTCGGCTGCCTCAGTAGCTTGGATTACAAGTGTGCACCACCATGCCCAGCTCTTTTTTGTTTTTTCTTTTTGAAATGTATAGCTTTTCCATCTGAAATATATCTGTAAGGCTGGGAAGAGGGCTCAGTGAGTAAAGTTCCTGCCACATGATGTTAAGGACCTGAGTTTGGATCCCCGGAAGTTAAGTAAAAAGCTGGCAGCACACTGTTGTAGCTCTGGCGTTTGGTGGAGGAGGTGGGTGATAAGCAGATCCCTGAGCTTATTGGCCAACCGAGCCAAATCAGTGAGCTTCAGGTTAGGGAGAGAGATGCTGTCTCAAATACTAAGGGTGGAGAACATCAAAGAAAAACACCAGGTATCAGCCTCAGACCTGCATGCACAGGCACACACCCCATAAATAAATACATCAATGACTATTTTCAGCACTTATGTTTGCTTTTTTTTTTTTTACAGTCACCTGCTCTGGAAGTACACTTGGGATGGGTAAGTGATCCACCCCCACACACCATGGATAGAGATAGGAGAGAATTTGTGATGCAGTGTTTTATAGTTATTTAATGAAATCATGATCAAAGCTAGTGCTGGAATTACTAAGAATGCCAAGCGTTTCTTTGATGCAAGAGTGTGCTGGTCCCCCATAGCCTTTCCCTTGTTAGGGTGCCTCCCTTCACATTGCACAAACCGAGATGAATTCTTTAGATGTCGAAGTCTTTTTAGTCTTCTAGAGTCACAGAGAAAAAAACTGCAAATGTTTTTTTAGAGGCCAGCGGATCATTCTTCCTCCCCTCATACATACTTTAGAAGATGATCCAGCCTTGCTGTACATTAAAATTCCTTGGAGACCTTAAATGTTGCTGGGGCGCTGGCCTCAGAAGATCTGGCATCACTGTTCTAAGGTGAAGAAGGCTGGGCCACAGGGTTTTTAAAAGCTCCTCTGATGATTTTTCAAGGGGATCGAGGGCTGAGAACTGCTGCTGTAAGCAGAGCTTCTCCATGCTGTGTGTAAAGCTCCCCCGGTGCCCCATCAAAGGCACATTGTGACTTGGCAGGAGCAGAGGCTCCACACTGCTAATGAGGTGCGGGCTGAGCATGCTTTGAATATTGCAGCCTTGAGAGAACCGGCCCCTCCCCCTCTCTGAGTAAGTCATTTGACAGCCTCTGCAGGACTATGGAAATCATATCTAAGAAGAATTTCTAGATTTCCTCATTCTCTTCGGCTAAACTATGGAAAGCATATCTAAGAAGAATTTCTAGATTTCCTCATTCTCTTCCTTCAGTACAGGATCCTGGCTGGCTAGGGCCCCCGACCTGGATTCTGTTTGGTTAAGGCTTTTGGTCTTTCTGGATTCTTGGATTATCCTAAATTTTGTCAACCCCATGAATTACCTTTTTGTTGAGGGGTGGGGCAGAGAGACAGGTTCTCACTATGTAGCCTCATCTAGCCTGAAACTCACCATGTAGACCAGGCTGGCCTTAAATTCACAGCGCTCTGCCTGCCTCTGCCTCCCAAGTGCTGGTATTAAAGGTTTACACCACAATGCCAGTTGAATTGCCTGTCTGAGAGACAGTTTTGGATTCAAATCCTGCTGCCCTTATTTGCCCTTAGTCGAATTAAATTCCCTAAGCCTAGTTTTCCTCATTTGAAAACTGAAGTAATAGTCACTTCATAAAACATAATAAAGGTTAAATGAAATGTAATTAATTGTACACAGTGAGAGGCTTACAGTCATTAGTAAGTGGTAGTTATTAATTCAGGATCAATTTCATCTCATAACTTTCTATTATGTTCTAGATATTAACATTTTAATGTGTCACTTCTTTTTTTAAAAAAGATTTTATTTATTTATTATGTATACAACATTCTGCTTCCATGTATATCTACACACCAGAAGAGGGCACCAGATCTCATAACTGATGGTTGTGAGCCACCATGTGGTTGCTGGGAATTGAACTCAGGACCTCTAGAAGAGCAGTCAGTGCTCTTAACATCTGAGCCATTTCTCCAGTTCCATAATGTACCACTTCTAATGTAATTACATTTTACCCTAGAGCCCATAATGCATTAAAATGTTAGTTTTCAAAGTGTGAGTTTAACATCATCAGTGTTTCCTGGCAAGCTTTTAGAAATGCCCTCTTGCCGATGGTGGCACACCCTTTTAATCCCAGCACTCATGGGGCAGAGGCAGGTGGCTCTCTGTGAGACCAGCCTGGCCTACAGAGTGAGTTCCAGGACAGTCAAGGCTACACAGAGAAGATCAGTCTTGAAAAACAACAATAACAAAAATAAAAACAAAAAAGGGAAGGAGGAAAGAAAGAAAAGGAAGGAAGGAAGAAGAAAGGAAAAAAAGAAAAGAAAAGCTGTCCTGAGGATTTGGCCAATGATCTAGTAACTGGGAAATTCTGAGGTGGAGCCCAGCAACTTTGTTTTAACAAGCCCACCAGGGTGAAGCAGTCCCAACTCCAGCGCTGTAACTAAGGAGAGTTCCTTTGTTGCTGGAAACTTGATGTTGGTTGGAGGAAAAAGTGACAGGTAGACTGTGTGTACTCTGTGTCACCTGCCCAACCTGGGGAGTTCTGGGGACTTTCCTCCCCACACATCCTTAGCAGTTGAGGGTTTATGTTCCCCTTCTGCAAAGGCCTGGATGACTGCAGTGGTGAAGCTTGTAGAGAACACAGCAAATGAAAGGAATGTTCCTCATCCAGTCAGTAGTGGGAGCTCAGAGACACTTGGAGAATTCATTTCGGGGAAACAGGCATTTAGTCACACTAGTTAGTCAGAAACTCTTGGCCACTTTGAACAGTTTGGCAGCTCACTTTCTTCCTTGCTTGCTGTGAAGTGCTACAGAAATAGCAATGTGATCATCAACACTAATGAACTCTCAGTGCTCAAACCGATGATTACTGCACATGTAATAATGGATCTTACCTGTGTCCTCTCCCTTGCCCCTTCAGTGATTTACAGAGGGAAGAAGAATGACACGGTGAGCCCCAGGTAAAAACACTCCACGAGGTGAGTAGTGAGGATTAATTCTGCATGGTTTCACAGCAAAAGTTTTCCTCCGTTTAAAAAATTCTTCACCTTTCTCTTGCAGAGTCCCTGTGGGCAGCGGTGGAAACACACTATTAGAACACAGACTGCTGTAGGATAGGAAAAGCGCCACTGGCCTTTAAAGGAGTAATTCATATGCTGTATTGACAGGGCAAGGTCAAGTGTGTCATCAGCTGCAGAGAAGTTCAAGATGAGCTGTGGAGAGGACTCTACAGAGGAACGATCCAGAAAGTCCCCTGGAAGGCCGCCAGTGAGTCAGCTCACTGTCAGAGCCTGCAAGCATAAAAGCTCTGCCTAGCAGAAATTTGTTCGGAGGCTTCACGTCCAGACACACCTCAGAATGCTGCCCACCCCAACGCCGTGTAGCTCAGGCTCACATTGAAGTCTCAATCCTTCTCCTGCAGCCTCTCAGAGTGCTAGGATTACAGGCTCGCACCGTTTTGCCCAGCGCTCCATTATAGACTTTAACATGTCCTGTTCATGAGTGTCTCAACAGCTTGCCGTACAGCAGATCCCCGCCCCACACCCAGGAAGGATGGACATGTACCCCCACAGCAGTCAGGTCACCCTTAGAAGGACAGCATCTACCCCAAGACAGGCCTCACTAGGGACTTTTTGCTGGAGTTGTATAGCAGCAGCTGCTAGGGCAACGTGGGCAACAAACGCCCTCCGCACAAGTTCCCGGGGAAGCGGAGCTGCCTGCAGACTTCACTGAGTCAGAGCGTGTGAGCAAACATCTGCTAGAGCCTCAGGGAAAGCAGAACCGTGGGAGGGTCCGTGGCTGGAAAGATTGCTATCAGGTTCTCAGAGCCAGCAAAGACGTCAGGTGGTGCAGCAGCCAAGAGCAGAGTCTCAGACCGTGGCAGACTGACCTACACACACCTTTTCAGGGGTTCGTCCATCTTGTAGCCTGTTCTCTACTCTCCCCTCACATTGTAATGGCTTCTTTCCATGTTTGGAGAGGAAAAACAATGATATATAGCATAAATCTGTTGTGTCTAGAACAATGTTTGTCTGTCTAATGCCAGAAACCTAATTTTAAAATAGTATGAATAAGATTTGTGTCACACGTGCTCAAGCAGCTGTGGTGCTCAGTCCTCAGGGGCTGTAGGGTCTGAAGAAAATGGCTCAGTGGTTAAGAGAATAGGCTGTTTGTGCAAAGGACCCAGGTTCCATTCCCAGCCCTCACATGGTAGCTCACAGCCATCTGTAACCCTTGTTGTGGGGTGGTAGGGCGGAGGAGGGTGGGGGTTGTCCATACCCTCTTCGGGACTCTGAGAGCATTGGCTTTGAAGTCCAGAATGTGTGTGCTAGGAAGCAACTTTAAAACACCGGCTAGAGGAAGTGCAGCATGAAGTTAGGCATGAGGCGAGCAAGGAAGAGAGAGAGAGAGAAGGCTTTCCTTCCTACATCCCCTTTCTAAGGAAACCAACCAAAATCCAACACAGGGTTTTTTTTTGTTTGTTTGTTTTTGTTTTTGTTTTTTTTGTTTTTTTTTGTCTGTAAGACCAACCAGAAAACCAAGTGTGAAGGCACATGCTGGTAATCTCAACACCCAGGAGTCTGAGGCAGGAGGATCATGAATCCAAGGCCATCCTGGCACACATACAAAAATATCTCAATAAATCAGAGATGCAAAACGTGTCACTGATAAAGAGATCTTTACAATATCTATTTTTAAAAGATTTATTTTTATTTTATGTGTATGAATGTTTTGCCTGCATGTATGTCTGTGCATCCCATGTGTGCCCATGGAGGCCAGAAGATGGCATCAGATCCCTTGGGACTGAAACTGCCATGTGGGTGCTGGAAACTGAACGAAGGTCCTCTGCAAGTGTCAAGTGCTCTTAACTAATGAGCCCTCTCTCTAGCCCTTATTTATTTATTGTTTTACAATTTCACATATGTACACTTTGCATACTGAACACCCACTTCCCCACCATCCCTGTCCACTCTCGACAAAATCTCTGTTGTGTTCCTGTGGGTCTGTTTTGTTTACCAAGTTTTGCCAGGGCCATCTGTGTGACCCTGGGTTTGGAATTATCTGTTGGGGTGTGGTGGGCTTGGCAGAGGAAACATAACTAAAGATAGAATTCCTCCTCTCGTAGGATCCACTGATAGCCAATTCTTCAGAGATAAAGTGTGGGGCCCCCTGAGCACCTGGATAAAGACTTCCCCAGAGTCCAGCTAGTCCTAAAGATTGTGTTTAAGGCTTCAAGAACACAAATGGAAGAGTTAAGTGTTGTTCACTTAAAACAAATGTTTTTGCCAGTCATGAAAGTACACACCTTTAATGCCAGCACTCAGGAAGCAGAGGCAGGTGGAACTCTGAGTTCAAGACTAGCCTGGTCTACACAGAGAGCTAGATTGTTAGACCCTGTCTCAAAAGAAATTGTTTTTAGTTGGGTATGGCAGTGTATGCTCTTAATCCTGGCTCTTCGGAGGCACAGGCAGGTGGATCTTTGTTCCACGGTACCATGTTCCACGGTAGCTGGGACTACATAATGAGTTCCAGGACAGTCTTGACTGCATTGTGAGTTCCAGGACAGCCAGAGCTACATAGTGAGTTCCAGAACAGGCATGGCTGTGTAGAGAGACCTGTCTCAAAATAAAAACAATTTATTCATGGATTTTAATGAACTGAGTTTTGTTAATGAACAACATAAGCGTCATTATGAAAAACTTACATGTATGTTACTATACTTGGCTCATGTTCAGCCCCCATTATCCTCCCTTGTCCCATTGCATGGGTCCCCTTCCTTTTTTTGTTTCTGAATACCAGTGAAAGAACAGCAGTCTCTCGTATGGATTCCCAGCTGTCATTCTGGAAAGTTGAATTTACTAGGTATGGGACCAAGCCAGGAAATAGTTGTTGGGTTGGTTTGTTTGTCTCATGCTCATCAAGCGCTTCTGACATGTGGAAATTTGGGAAACTCTGTCCTTGCCTTATTGAGTTCTTCCTTGAAGTAAGATTTCAGTGATGGGATCCTATGACAATGGAGAACTGTGGCCTGTGCAGAGGAGGTCCATGTCCTGGTGGGGAAGCCTTGGTGGAAGAAAAGTGAAAGCACATTCTGGACTGTGTGGGCTAGCACCGGTGTGAGATTACACGATATACTTAGTTGAACACCTTCAGAATGGTACTTCAAAATTGGGTCTATAGCTGACTGGAAGAGACAACAGCTTAAGCCAAATGTGAGGGCAGGACCTCTATTCTCAAAGATCGGCTCAAGAAAAAGGCCATATCTGCTTAACTATGTGTCTAAGCTAAGCTAAGATGGCCAGAATTCCACAAAAGACAATGTGGTCCACACTGGGTGGGGCAAAATTACTGTTTACTTAGTTTACTTATTATATGTAATGCACAGACCACACACTGCTAAGAGCTTTCTGCATATTCACTTCCCTTCCATAAAACCCCACAAGCTAGGTAAGAACCTCTTCCTCTTTCCACAGACGGAGAATAGAGGCCCAGCAAAGTCAAGACACTCACCCACATACACACAGCCCACCGGGGCAAACACATCAGGAGTGCAATTGCTTACACCTGCAGATCAATATTTTATTTATGGAAAGTTTTTCACTAGATTATTATGATAAATTTATCAACCGCTGGAGAAAAAGACCAGCATTGGATAAAGGGAAATGGGGTAAAAAGTGGGTGACCTGCTCTTAATTCCAGTGCCCAAAATTTAAACTATTTTATCTGTTTGACCTCTTTATGACCTGTGCATCTTTTCATCTCTGGCCAGTGCTAGTGTATTTTGCTCTCAAGCTGCTGTGTCATATTCAAGGAATCCAAACACACTTTTTAATCTGTGTAGGAGAGCCAACTAGAGGAGACCTGGAGAAACAGCTTACGGAGATTATGCAAAACTAGGGAATGTGGGAGGACAGACAACAGGATGCAAGAGAAGTGACTACGATCCTGAAGCCAGATAGCGTCAGGTCCTAGCTCATCCTGAGATGTCAAATGATGTAATTAGCCTTCCTTAGCCTCACTTTTCTCATTTGCAAACCAGCAATAAAGATTTTCACCTTGCTGGGTTTTGCAAGGTTTTAGATATGTATTCCTGAGCTAAGGAGATAACTCAGTTTTGGTAAAGTATTTGTAAGCATGGGACCTGAGTTTGTATCAAAAGCTGGGCATGATGTTGTGTGTCTGTAATCCCAGTCCTGGGGAGATGGAGACAGGAGGGTCACTGAGACTTACTGACCAGCCTACTTATTCCAAAGAGGTGAGCTCCAGGTTTGAAGGGACTCTAGCCCACTGAGTGTGTGGCTTCTGCAGGCCTTACCCTTCTCCTCCATTCCCTCTGCCTTGCTAAAAACCATTAGATTACATTCTTGAAGCTAACCCCCAAGGTCTATTCCCTTTTTTGGCCAATGACTCCTCCTGAGGCTAACTACCAATGTCCAGCTATCAAATTATTGAAATCTAGCCATCAAACACCCCCTTCACCTAATTAACATGCCCAATTAAAATTTAACACCTCATTCTAACACTGGGTTTGCCCTCGTACCTTTAAAAACTACCATTTTTTTAGGTGCCGTATCTGTCTCCTCTCTATCCAGAGGCAGTCCTTGGTCCCTCCAGGGAAAATACTCTTACTCCCTTTCATTTGTTCCCTTCCCCTTCTCCCTCGTCCTCTATTTCCTGTCTTTGTCCCTTATCCTTGCCCTCTGTCCCTCTGAGGCAAATAAATTTCCTTTCTGCTGAGAAGTTGGTCTTGGGGGTACTGAGCCAATGCTTTCCCTTGCAAGGTTTAGTGAGAGATCCCACCTCAAAAAACAAAGGTGAAGTAACTGAGGAAGGCCTGACTGACATTGGCCTCTGGCTTCTTCACACACACACACACACACACACACACACACACACACACACATGCTCCTCCCAACACACAAAGATACTGTATCACACAGGTACAATGCAACTGGTTTGCAATCACACTGATAGTAGGAGTCAGACCTAGATTTTGCACATTGTGGACTTGTGTATGTGTGCACCTAGGGCCTATACTTGTTACACTTACGCTGCACTGTCCCTGGGCCTTTAGGGACACAAGTCATAACCACACCTCCTGTGATCTATTTCCAGCTCTGAAGGGCATTCTGTCTCATTTCCTGATACCTAGCCTCTTGAAGGGTAGGGCATGTCTATATTGCATCTGCCTCACTCCTTCCTCTCTGTTTGACCCCCAGGGTAAGTAACTAGGATTTTTTTTTTTTTTTTTTTTTTATGGTTTGGACTCCACCCTACTATACATACTAAGCAGAACTTGATTTAAATTTGAAGAGAGAGTAGGAAAGATGGTGCATATATTTAAAAGTATGACCAACTGAACCCATTTAAAGGAGGTTTCAAGGGATCTAAGGTTCCAGCTTCTCTTGCCACAAAAACCTCAAACAGATAAAACATTCTTGTCATAGTTTTTTTTTCCCCACTCCCTGGTTTTTTTTTTTTTTGTGTGTGTGTGTGTGTGTGTGTATTGTAAGCTGATCCTTTCCACACTGTAGCACGTGCCCTGAAACCTTGGTAATGAACAGCATCAAATCATCTTCCTATTTCTGTGGATTGCTTGAGGATAAGAGACATAATCCACTTCGTGTGGTACACTAAGCACGAAGTCAATAATAGACATTATTAGAAATAGTACTTTCTAACCATTTCTCCGTGTGACCAGTTTGAATCTTTGGGACTATTGGCTCTTTGCAAAGTCCTGTAGGAATGCTTCTGCTTGCCAGTGTAAATAATGGTTGTCAGTAACTGGCCTGATTGGCTGCTTTGCTTTCAGGTCCCAAGACTGGTTCTCAAGTAGGCTGCTGCCTCACTTTTCTGAGCTCAAGTCAATTCCTGTCAATCAGCTTTCAGCAATAATTTGGGGTCTTAAAAAACGTTGATAATCTCCTCCCTGCATTTTTTACACAAACTTGATGAATGACAGAATGTTGTTTTCTTGGTTCATTTATTTGTATTCTGTCCCTAATGCGTTCACTTTTTGGGGGGCAGTGGAGGTGGGGGAGGCAAGGTCTCTGGCCCCAGTTGTGTTAATCCTAGCAGTCTAGAATATGACCACTACCACAATTTGAAGTCAAATTTGAAGGAAACTTTAATTAAATACTGGTAAGGTTGATGGACTCTCTGGCCAGGTCCATCTCTGCGTTTCCAGAAAATGGCCCCTAGTCATGGTTTGTGGGATTTAAAAAGGCAAACCCCACAGTTCACCACATTTCCCATCAGGTCCAATCAGGGGAAAGCATATATCCTGACATATTTTCTGACTCCATACCTCCTGCCTACATGTGATCAAGCACATCTGGTGTAACTGGGTCAAACAAACTTGTTTAGGGAAGTGAAAACATGTGACTTGTTAACTCCCATAAATAGTGGTCTCCAGCATTTCAGGAAGTATTTGTCCTTGGGGCAGGAGCATATATGTCAGAGGCATTTTTGTTTCATGAATCTCTTAGGCATAGTAATTAAAACATAACTGTGACTCCCATGGTTGGCCTGGAACTAGGTATGTAGCCAAAGATGACCTTGAACTCCTGATCTTCCTGCTTTCGTCTTCCACATACTGAGATTGGAGACTTGGGTCATCACATCTGGCTTCAAAGAATTCAATGTTTCAACCCTCTTTTGAGTACTACAGGATGCTGAGGAAACTGTCTGACTCCATTTTGAAGGCAGGAGACACTTTGTAGTGTTGTTAAAAATAAATGTTCATTTACTGTAAGAGCTGAGTTTCTGTTTCCTGGAACCTGACCTGCTCTAACCCTTGACCTTAACTTGTTTTTGAGGACCCTCTAACTCTCCATAACCAGTGACCACATGATAACTGTTTTTTGTTTTTTGAGATTTTTCTGTAGTTCCTAACTGCCCTCTTGTCTTCATTCTGTAAACCTGCTTTGCAATTACTTGTGATTTTACTTTTTTTTTTTTTTTTTTTTGGTTTTTTTTAAAAAGGGTTTCTTTGTTATGAGGTCTCCCTCAGTTTTGTTTGCCCTTGGAGGGAAACAGGGGCTGGGTATAGATAAGAGTTCAGTGGTAGAATATGTGCTTAGTGAACATGACCAAAACCCCGGATTCAGCCTAGCATGGTGGTTCATACCTGTAACTCCAGCACTTGGGAGGAGGAGGCATGAAGATCATGATTTCAAGGACAGCCTCAACTACAAAATAAGTTTGAGGCTAGCCTGGGCTACATGAGACTTTGTCTCAAAAAAAAAAAATTCATCGTCAACAACAAAATCATGATGGATATTTCCAATACCAAGAAATACAGGAACATCCTTGGATTAGTTTCTATTTCTGTTTTCTCTGTAGAAAGAAATTGCCAAGTTAATCACATTGGAACAAGGGAAGACTCTAGCTGATGCTGAAGGAGATGTATTCCGAGGCCTTCGTAAGCTGGGGAGCCCCTCATGTGATTTGTGGGAGAGGTCAAAAGAAAATGGGAGACATACCCCAGAATGTGGAGGTTGATTCTTTATGTAGATTTTGCTATCCTGTGGTAACTTTTTCTTTTTTCTTCTTTGTTTTGATTTGTTTTTTTGTAACAGGTTTTTTTTTTTGAGCCACCAACCAGCTCCCAAATCATAACACAGAGACTTACTATTAGTTTTGAATCTTTCCCTCAGCCTTGGCTTGTCCCACTAGCTCTTTTAACTTAAACTGTTTCTAGTCATCTACATTTTAACTCAGGGCTTTTTACCTTTCTTTCATTCTGTATGACCTACTTTCCTGCTTCTTCCTTGTCTGGCTGGGTGGCCCTTGGTGTCTCCCTGGAGTCTCTCTTTTTTCTTCTTCTTTCTTCTTTTTCTCTTTTCCTGAGCCTAAATTCCTCCTCCTACCTATTCTCCCTTCCTAGAAGTTCTTCCTATACCTCCTCCCTCACTATTAGCCATTCAGTTTTTTTATTAGACCAATCAGATACCTTAGGCAGGCAAGGTAAACAGCAACACTTCTTTACATTGTTAAACAAATGCAGCACATCTTAACCTAGTCAAATAAGTACAACATTGTTGATTATTATGTGATGCGTGGGATCAAAGATGATCCCTAGTCCGTAAGGCTAAGATTTCTTTATTCAGATAAACACCAGCCCAAACACAAGCCAGAGCGTGCCCAGAGACCGCAAGCTACCTTGGCCAAGAGAGAAGGGGCG